AATGAAATGTTCTGGAAATCACATTCTTCTCAGAGTCAGCCACAGCTTGTTGTGGTCCACACAGTCAAAAGCCTTTGCATAGTCAATGAAGCACAGATAGACATTCCTCTGGCATTCTCTGCTTTCTGCCAACATCCATCTAACATTAGCTATAATATCCCTAGTACCACAACCTCTTCTAAACCCAGCATGCACATCTGACAGTTCTCTGTTGACATGTTGCTCTAGTTGTTTTTTGATAATTTTCAGCAAAATCTTGCTTGCATGTGATATTAATTATATTGTTCAAGAATTTCCACAATTCTGATCTAGTCTTTGTTATTTTTTTTCTTCTAACAGGTTTAAACTTAGTTTGCCTCCCTTCCACACCTTGCAATTCCTAAAATGCTTGGGAGGGTGGAGGGATGGCACAAAAGGGGAAGACCCTCTATGAGGTAGATTGATTCAGTGACTGGGGTAATCGGGATAGGTGTGTCAGAGGCAGTGAAACTGGCACAGGATAGAGCAGGGTTTAGGGCTCTTGTCCATAGGGTCGCTATGAGTTGCAAGCGACTCGACAGCACATAACAACAACAGCAACAACATAGATATGATTGTAGAAGAAGAGTGGGCAATGCCTCTGTAAACCCCCTGGAGGGTCAGCTCTGGGACTGTTCCAACTCTACAGTACACAACAACAGCAAAAACATGTGAAGTATTGTAATACTTGTGCAAAGAGCTGGAGTCAGAAAATCTAAAGGGCTGACCTCACTCAAAATTTCTTAAGCTGAGGGAACTGAAGAACAAATTGAAGCCTCAAGTTACAATACTTAAGGATGTTGTGGGCAGAATGTTGAATGACCCAGGAACCATTTAAAGAAGTCATTGTACTAAAAGGAATTGGTGGACACAGAAGAATTTCATGAAACAACGCATGATCAACAGCTTGTGGTGATGAAGGAAGATGTTCAAGCTACTCTGAAAGAACAGGCAAAAAGACAAGGCTCCTGGAATTGACAGCATATCAACGGATGTATTTCAAACAGACTCAGCTCTGGATGTGCTCACCAAGTTGTGTCAGGAAATCTGGAAGAAAACCACCTAGCCAACTGACTGAAAGAGATCTATATTTGTTTCCATTCCAAAGAAAGGTGACCTGAGACAGGTGGAAATTATTGAACAATATCATTGATGTCGCAAAATTCTACTGAAAATTATCCGAAAATGACTGAAACAGCACATCAACAACAACAACACACATATGATTAAATTGTACAGAGTTACACACACAAACCAGTGAGTGCTTATATAATTGATGAAATCTACATAAGCTCTACAAAGTATACCAATATTAATATCCTGGTATTGATATTTTACTCTGGCTATGCAAAATGTTTTTATTAGGGGCAGCCTAATGAAATGATCAGAAGACATCTCTGTGCATTTCTTGCACTTTCCTGAGGATCAACAGTTATAACTAAATAAAATATCAGGAAACCAACAATTTGATCCCACAATAAGTCTGGGAAAGTAAATAATATGATTATTCTTATTTTACAGAAAAAGAACACAAGGAATATGGACAATTGATATAGAAAGCTTACATAGATAAAATCCAACAAAATGTCCTTGTATAAGTGTTGATGATAGTAAGAAAATGTAGAGACTCCCACTCTTATAAATACTGATGTTATTGCAGATAGTAAATTTGCAAAGTGAAAAAAAAAATTGCAAGCTCCCCACCTTCCTACAACTTACGGTAGACTTGAAAGTTGTACTTCTTGGTGATGGTGATGTTACTGGATTGTATATTTATGTCTGCTTGGTAGAAACCAGAATCTTCCATCTTCAGATTGCTCATCACCAAGTCATAGTTTTTACCTGAGACATGTAATCTCTCAAAATAATTTTTGTTGGTAACAGTAACCTTAGGTGCTTTTCCCAAGTCTCCAGGTTGTACAACAGCAACAGATGATTTGGAAATCCAAGCAATACTGATAACTTGCTGTGCTTCTTGAATATTTATAGGGAAAGTAACTGATTCTCCCAAAGTTCCATTCACCATGAGGATACTTGCGTCTTTTGCAGCTGCTTCGGACCCTGAGAATACAAATAAAAAGATTTAGATATCTAATTATCGTACCTTTAAAAGTTCCATTTCTTGTTTGCTCAGCTATGCGTTTTTTTGAGCAGCTATGGGCTTGGTAGGGAGCTCTGGTGGCCTAGCAGTAAGGAGTTGTACGGCCAACCTAAGGGCTTATGGTTTGAATTCACCAGCTGCTCCACAGAAGAAAGATGGACAGTTTCTTCCTGTGTGATTTACTACCTCTGAAAACTCACTAGAGGGCCAACTATGAGTCAATTCTGACTCAATGGCACACAACAACAGCATGGTCCAACTCATCCAAGTTCTTTATTTTATTTTTTATTTTTGGCATACTAAGTATGCTTTATTTGTTGTGACTAATTTAGTAAAGAATTCTTATTGAAAAAGTAAGTTTCCCAGTGGATTCCAAGGGATATAGTTTATTAAAAATATATTTACTTAGATTTTTAAATTCCGAGAGCAATAAGGGATTACAGAGGCAAGTTATCACGTAAAAAAAAAGAAAGTGTCTTTCTTTCCCAAATCAAACTAACAGATGATGAAGGAGCTGGGACCAAAATCTGGGAGATATGGGCTGCTGAATATTCTAGTCCTTGCTTCTCTTCTACTGTATTTTTATAAAAAAGAAAATTACACTTGTGCCATTATTCATGAAAGATATAAGCAAAGTGTACTTTGGAGGCTCTGGAGCAAATATTTTCCAAGTTAGTAAAATTTGGGGTCTCTGTTCACTGGGGAACTCAGGAGGCATGGTCCGTAGAGAGTTGTGCTGCTAACTCAAAGGCTGTTCTTCTCTGGTGGTCCAACATGCCAGTATTTCTGGGAGAAAGATGGAAATTTTTCTTCCATGTACAGGCCCAGAAATTCCCTAGAAGGTCAGTTATGAATTGGTACTGACTCAATAGCAACAAATGAGTGAATGAATGAGTGATATCCCAAGTCTCCAGAAATGTGCCTGGTTAATAAAAGAAGACAAAGTCATAGCTCATCCTCCATTGAATTTTTGAGGCTATAAATCAGTCCGGAGGAGATTGTTTATCTTTTTCCCAAGGAGTAAACTGGTAGACTAGAATAGCCAGAGAAATGTAGTCTTTGAGTACTATTCCCTATTGACTAGGCACTAAAACGTAACAAGTATTTGTGAAATGGGAAGTGATATAAGGCAAAATAGCATATTTGTAACATCGAAGGTTAGTCCTTCCAAAGAAGCAACACTAAAGTAGTAAGAGTCAATGGAATTAATTACAACAGAACTGCAAGCTGTGAAAACACTTATGACAATCAGGGTAGTGTTGAATAGATACAGCCTGTTGCCCTTTTGAGAGAGCAGCATACATGAGCCACCTACCATACTACATTTCTCACTCCCATCATGACTGAAGGAAAAGTTACAAAACATGTGCCTGCAGCCCTCAACAAGCAAGAATCAGCAGTCTCTGAAAGATGAGAGAATCAGATTCCCAGAATCAACATAATATAAAAAAATCAGAATGTACAGTTCACCAAAAAATTACAGATTATATACAAGAAAATAATAAAGTATGACCTATTAACAAGGAAATACCAGAATGGTCCTTAAGGAAGTTGAGATATTGGGATTAATATGTATCATCTGAAAGGTGGAGGGACAGCATAGGGATAGGAAGATCCTGGCTGAGATGGATTGATACAGGACTAGGTCACTGTGGGTTGGAATATCAGAATTCATGAGACTTGCTCAGGACAGGGTTCAAAGCTGCTTTATAGTAGGTCTTTATGGGTTGCAGTACAGAAATGAAGAAAGTTATAGAAAGGCTACTGGTCTTTTGTTCATAGGATCACTATGAGTTGTGGTTAAACTTGATGGCAATCAACAACAACAACAAATGCAATATGTTAATTCATCAGTTGTAAATACAAACTAAGTTAAATTATAGATAAAACTTTAAAAAATGGGAAAACAATATAGGAAAAAAGAAAGAATATAAAGATAAAATTATTTTAAAAAGGGACAAGGCATAGCATGACAGGAAGACACGCGGTACCCATAGTACTTTGGGCAAAACACTGCTGTATAGCTACATCACGTGTGTCTTCTCGAGCTCAAGCAGAAGGGACCAGGAGAGCTTGAGTGAGGCAGAGACACAGTTCTGGAAGGGAAAAACAGGCTTCCTGGTTTGCTATTCTGGTACTTTGGGGGAAGACACTGCTGTTGGGCCCTTGGCCCTGAAGGCCTTGGGTCAAGAAGGGAGCACAAAAAAGGTCTGTCACAAAACATTGCCATACTCTGGATCACTATTTAGTTACATCTGCTAACAAACATCTTCTAACAAAGGATTTAAATAATGTCAAGAAAGTAGCAGTCAGCTTCAGTAATCATGAAAAAACAAAATAAACTTTCTCTTAAAAAAAGCAGACACAATAAATACCCTAGATAGAACAGAAGAAATATGTTGATGTGGAGTTATTTGAACAGCTACAGAAGAAGATACACTGATGGAAGAAAAAAAAAATAAAAAAACAAAAAACCCAAAAAAAAAAAATCCAAAAAAAAAAGGTGGGGAAGAACAAACTGAAAAACCAAGGAAAAAAAATTATGAAAGATGGAAGTAAAAAATATTATATTATATTTAAGAGGTTTAAGAACTTAAAAAATCATCACAAGACAGAGAGGGTACAGCTAACACCGGAAATAACAGAAAAGCACAGAAATGCAATCTAGAACATTAAGATCTAAATGGCAGAAATGTCCAACATGCTGGTGGGACAAAAAAGTAGAACTGAAGGAATGGAACAGAGTCAGTGAGCTGGAAGATAAGAACTTCACTGGAAACATATTTAAAGAAAAATCAGAGATGAGATGTAAAGAAAATGAAGAAAACATTAGAATCATGTGGGATGCCATCAAAAGAAACATACAATGATTGGAATTACAGAACAGGGGAATGCAAGGGGAATAATTGAGAATATTGTGGAAAAAGTACTAGAAGAAAATTTCCCAGTTATTTTGAAGAATGAAGAAATCTACATTCAAGAACCACAGTGAACACCAAGTAGGCTAGACCCAAAAAGAAAAACACCGAGACATATCAAAGCAAATTCTCCAAATTAAAATAAAAGAATAGAATTCTAAAAGGAACAAGAGAAAAACAGAGTCACCTACAAAGGACAAGTAGTTATATTAAGTTCTGATTTCTCAGCAGAAACCATGTGAACTAGAAGACAGTGGAATGGCATCTACAGAAAGCTTAAATAAAATAATTGCCAGCCAAGTATCCTATACCCGGAAATGTTCTCCATCAAATATGAAGGAGAAATTAGATCCTTTGTAGAAAAGAAGGAACTTAAGGAATTTGTGAAAACAAGACCAAAACTACAAGACATTTTAAGTGAAGTCCTTCACATGGAGATGCCAAAGGAAAGTAGATGGATCACAGTAACCAAAACCAACAGAAAAAGAAGCACAACCAAATGGCAACAGTAAAACCCGGCCTCACAAAAATCACACTTAATATGAGTGAAATAAATGCACAAATTAGGAGAAAAAGAGTAACAGAATGGATAAAAAAACAAAGCCCATCAATATGTTACCTACAAGAGACACATTAAAAAATAAAAAAGAGAAGAGAAAGACAGACTCAAAATCAAAGGCTGAAAAAAAAAAATTACCAAGCAAATGGCAACAACAAAAAGCAGGAGTGGCAATTCTAATCTATTATAAAATAGACTTCAGAATGAAAACCACCATAAAGATAAGAAAAGGCATTATATACTGACTAAAGGCACAATAGACCAAGAAGACCTAACCTTGGTCAACATTTTTGCACCAAATGACAGATCTGCAAAATACATAAAATAACGGTTAACAGAATTGAAGAAAGAAAAAGACAATAACACAATAGTGGTAGGAGACTCTGACATACCACTCTTACCAAAGGATACGTCAACTAAAAAGAAACCCAACAAAGATGCAGAAGATCTAAACTATATAATCAGCCCACTTAACCTTGTGGATGTGTTTAGGTACTGCACCAACTAACACTCAATTAACTTTTTCCTCAAGTGCACATAGTACATTCTCCAGAATTGATCACATACTAGGACACAAAGCAAGCATCGACAAATTAAAAAACATAGAAATAACACAAAGTGTCTTCCCAGATAACAAGGTCATAAAACTAGAAATTAACCACAGGAGGGTAAAGCTTACAAAACCACCTATGTGGAAGCTAAATGACTCTTTATTAGAACAAGATTGGGTTATAAAAGAAATAAAGAATGAAATAAAAAAGTTCCTTGAAACAAATGAAAATACAATGTACCCAAACCTCTGGGATACAGCTAAGGTAGTTCTCATGGGGTAGTTTATAGCAAAAGGCACACACATAAAAAAGGAAGAAAGGAGAGAAACCAATGATCTAACTAAAAATCTTCATCAAATAGAAAAAGAACAATGTAATCCTACAGCCTCTTGAAGAAAATAAATTATGAGGACAAGAGCTGAAATCAATGAGATAGAAAACAGAAAAACTGTTGAAACAAGGATCTGGTTTTCTAAAAGTGTCAATAAAATCGGCAATCCTCTGGCAAACTTAACAAAGGAGAGGAAAAAATTAAGAAATGATAAAGGTGACATCACTACAGAACCAGATGAAATGAAATTGATAATAAAGGAATAGTGTGAAAAGCTATACTTTGATAAATTAAAAAACCTAGAGGAAATGGACAAATTCTTTGAAACTTATGCCCTACCCAGATTGACAAGAACAGATAAAGAACACTTGAATAGACCAGTCACAAAAAAAAGAAACACTTCACCATAAGAAAAGTCCTGGATCAGAAGTCTTCATAGCTGAATTCTATCAATCATTCCGAAAGGACTTATCACCAATTCTATTTAATTTATTTTTAAAAATTGAAGAAGTAGGAACACTTTCAGGGTCGTTCTATGAAACAAGCATAACCCTAATACCAAAACCAGGCAAAGATATTACTACCGAGAAAGAAAACTACAGACCAATATAATGAATATGTTGTTGTTGTTATGTGGCATCGAGTCGTTTCCGACTCATAGCGACCCTATGCACAACAGCTCTAAACCCTGCTCTATCCTGCGCCAACCGCACCACCTCTGACACACCCATCCCGATTACCCCAGTCACCGAATCAATCCATCTCATAGAGGGTCTTCCCCTCCTGCGCTGTCCCTCCACCCTCCC